TACAACTGCCAGGAAAATATAACCATGCAGTTTGTAGGGGCAAAACCGAACTCTCGTTTTTTCATGGTGCCAAACAGTAAGAGGCAGACAAAGCTTCTGGATAGCCTTATAGCTCCATCTGCTGCACATGAGTAAAAAGGTATCCCAGCAATCAAAAACTGAAGAAGCATTGATTAAATTTCTTTAGATTCGTACAAGTTATTCTTAAAAATGATCAAACATTTAACTACGTCTTAGCCATTGAAAAGGTACCTGCAATAGCTGCAACACTCATATATTTGAACAGCATGAATTAAAACTGAGACTTTGTTAACCAAAGACAGAAATTGTGGGACAGTATTTGGCTGATCTCAGCAAAACTCCTAGCACTGCTAAATTAATTGGGGGCTTATGAAAGCTCTTCTTCAAAAGCATGGGAAGGTTATCTCTGAGCATGACCTTAAAACCATGCTGAAATGGGTACAAGCAAAAGTGCCCACTGTAACTGCATCTACTGTTTTTACACGAGAACTGTGGGATGATGTGGGGGTGAAACTATGAGACGGGGCACAGCTTGATGCAAGCAAAAGCCGTTTATTACAGTTACCTACATATATTTATACTTATCAGAAGACAGCGTGTTTCAAACTGATTGGTGTTTTCAACATTGTGTTACAGGCTCATTGGTCTACATTTCACACTGGGCACACACAGATTGGTCAGTATCAAAAATCCCCCTTTAAACATCTACCTCCCCTTACTACATCAGTCCCCACTACACAAGAACAATAGTTCCCTTTCAACAGGTGGCTGCACAGCCTCCCAATCCTGATAAGGACAGAAGGTCAGCACAACCCGCTCCTTCTAAAGTTCTTATCTTATTCTTCCCAAGGCCTGTAGCCGACAAGCTCCAGCACATCTCCCCCAATTAATTTAGCAGTGCTAGGAGTTTTGCTGAGATCAGCCAAATACTGTCCCACAAGAAATACTTTCTTACAGTAGTGCAAACTAAATATTGTCTCCTACACTTGCTGCTACTGTGACTCATGAAAAGTTGGAGAGTTTAGAAGGAGATGGGGAACACCATTTTTTGCCTTAAGGTAGCAGAATGTGTCCCCAAAGAAGGGAGTCTGTAAACATCCTTATTTGCTGAAGAGTGCTAAATCTATGGAGAATATTCTTCCTGATCAGATTAAGGTGTAATTGCAAAAACAGGACATGAGGCTTCGCCCTACCTGCTGCAGAACAGACTCGCCTTGTAGTCTCTGCAGATTTTCCAGATGGGAATGGAACAATGGGCTGTGCAGCAGCTTTACCTCCAGCAGCCCTTCAATGATGTAGCCAATAGTGCAGTCATCAGGAAGACGCACTCTTTCTGCAGTACTGATGAAATTACCTAGGCTGTGAGACAGAGCATAGGGGACAAGAAGACATATGCTTTAATGCCTACCAAACACATACTGATGGAGCTCAGCTAGGAACACTGTTTACCTGGCCCAGGGACTCATCTTCAGGGCAAGACCTCTGCTGATACAGAACCCTGCTCCACCTGTGGCAAACCAGAATTTCACGGTTGTCTTCTGAAGAGTAACAAGAAAAACACACAGTAGTTACCGATAATCAGCTTTTTCCATTTGGCTGGGCAGGCAAGGGAACTCGAGGTTCTATTGGATATCACATACTGCACTTGACTTAGAACAAGACTACAAATTAATTCGGATTTCTTTAGGCTACTGAAAAAGCCCAGCAAGTTGTTCTCTCAAAGGAAACTCTATCCTGGAACTGTCAGGAGGTGAACCATCAAGTTAGCACAACTGAGGTAGCACACATGAAATGGGAAAGTACAGTCCCACTCCTACCCAGTTCCATCTGGCCCCTGGGCATTCTAGCCAAGGGTCACAGCCAGCTCAGTCAACCTGAGGAAATCAAATGTGGTTCATTAGTCACTTGCCTCCATGTCCAAGGAGGCTATTCTGTTGTGCAGTTTTCTCTAACTAGCTGCTCTGTAACTGACTTTCTGGCCAGTGGACTGATTTGTTTTTAGGCCGGTCAGTATAGGTGACCTGCTGAGGATTTGTCCTTTAGGACATGTATCTTGTGACTGAGATAGGTTTGCTTCCACTTCTTGGAAGCCTAGTAACCACTTAATACTGAAAATACCTTATATACCCAGAGTGCCTTTGTCATCCATCTGAGGTTGGTTAAAGATGATGACAATGTGATACTGCTCTCAAAACAAAAAAATCCAAACCCCAACACCCTAAAGCAAGGAACACTCCACCCAAAACCACTAAAGGAAAAGAAAGAGTCAAGGTGGGGAGGCCTGACTTACCTCAGTGTGAGGGAGATCACCAACATATGTGAGTAAAGGGAGAGAGACATCTACCCAGGAGACAAACTCTATTTTACATATGCATATGAGGTCAGATCAATGGTTCATTTAAACCAGCACCCTGTCTCTGAAAATGACCAATCCCAGATTCATTGCTGGCAGGTTAAATCACTTGTTTTTATGGGGGAATCCTATGAAGTCTTAAGGTTTTAAAAGCTCAGAAGGTCAGGATGTATCTCAGACTAACTGCAAAGTTTGCTTACTGATCCATCACTTTGGACATGGTCAGCTGCTTCAATGGGATGGTCCAGACTCGGTCGCCCCACATAGACATCCTGGCTGTGTGAGAAGGCAGATAAGAGACGCAGGAGAGTCCGAGGGTTCACATAGTTGTCATCATCCACATGGCAAAACCATCTTCAAACAAAACAAAATAAGAAAGTTACAGCAGAGCAGTGACAAAGAAATGAGTTACAGGTTTACAGCCAAGTCTTAGTCTTTCAGGCTTGGAGCAGAAAGCATTTCCCGTTGTCCTGAATTACAGAATTTGGAAGCTGAAAGCACACACAGATCCTCATTCTAGAAAGAGGCTGAAATTAACAACCCCCTTTAGATTCTCATCCTTTCTTCCTTTTAGATGATGCTTATTTATAAACACTATTTCATGCTGTGCTCTGTTCCCTATGTATGGTAAAAATTACCATGTTTTAGCTAGTACTGCTTTCCTTACTGCAGCAGAGAAGGCTACTCTAGTTTCCTGTGAACACAGGACTAGAAGAAACAAAGTCAATCAGAACAATGTGTTTCACCTACTTTTGCCCAGATTCCAGGAATTTATCATATTCCACAGACATTTTGCAGCAGAGAGCTTGCCGGGTATGGACAGCAGAACAGTTGGTGTTGATCATATGATCCCCTAGAAGAATAAAGATCAGCCCTTTCAGGTTTGAGAAGTGCCTGTAGTCCAAAAAAAGACTACAAAAGAAGTGCACTAATACTGTACATCTGAAGTGCATATGGTGCACACATGGAGAGTAAACTGCAGGATAGGCAGGGCTCATGGGTTATGCATATGGCATCCAAACTGTAGAGTATATAAAAATGTGTGAGTGCATGGTATATAAATAGTGCCATGAGACTGTATGCAAAGGAAATACCTAATATAACTTTGGACCAGAAAGACTTAAGCTTACTAAGAGGAAGGAAGTGGGTGCAAGGGTGAACCCAGTATTCAGGAAGTTCCAGGCATCTTGTTCAGGTGGTAAGTAGGAACAGCATATTCTCCTGTGAAAGGAGACGTTTTCTCCATTTTCTCGATCCTAACTTCCCTAATTGCTTGTACAGCCTGAAATAAGGACTTCTAGGGAAAGCATGACAGAAACAAAACTCAGTTATAACAGACAGCATGCACCTATGCTACACAGCTTACCTGCTTTCAGCCGTAGCTCCTGATCCTCCCAGTCTGTGAATATAAATGTCTGTGGGAGACAAAAATGGGTGGGGTGAAAGGTGCATCCACATTTGAGAGTTTCAGAAACAAACTTTAACGTTGCTCAGTTACCATCACAATTCTGAATGTTTTATCTTGTTAGTTTATTTCGCAGTAGCCATTGGGAGTGGGGAGGGGAGAACCCAGCAACTTCAGCCCTTGCCTTATTTGATACGTTTTTGCATTGCAAAACAGAAGAGTCTCATTTCAGTAAAGCATCCAAGATACTACTCTGCTCGGCTCAGGGTACAAACAATTTCCAGACAGGAATGACTGTCTTTTTTTGGTAGTACCTCCCTCTGCAACTTTGCCTCCTCTCTCTGGCCAGGAGTCATCCACATTTACCTTGTTGAGCAAGCTAAAAGGAAAGAATGAAAGTCAGGGTGGGAAGTGCCAGGTGGTAACACTGTCTCATCCCAGCTGCTGGGCAAAATTGGGTTAAGATGCTTGAATGTGCCAAAGTTCCCAAACAAGGGAACAAATTCTGTGTTGTTCTACAGAAAAAACACTGAGTTGCCGAACTACTTTGTCCAAAATACTGGCTTAGATACATCAGCACTAGGGATCATTTGCTATCATGCAATAGTCTCTGCAGTCATACAAAAGTTCAGCAAACTGTCTCTGCTTGGACCACCAATTCCAGATTGCAAGTAACTAACTATGAACAGCAAATTCTTTTTGAGGTAGGTTCAGACAAACTATTTGGATAAGATCATCTACCTTAGTCTTGCAAGGAAAGCTGTTTTTAACAGAGGCAAGGAAAAACTTGGCGAGAAAGTGCAGCAGCTCCTGGCCACCTGTCTCGGCTGCTGGCAAAGCCTCACCTGTCCCCTCGCCTGGGAGATCCAGGTTTGGAGGAGCAAGTCTAGCCGGCTCCTGTGGTACTTCCTCGTCGTCTTCACCGCAATGAAGATGTCCTTCAGCTCCAGGCTCTCCCTGGCCGAGCCCCCGGCAGGCCCAAGGCGGCCCTTCC